GAAACACTTAAGAATATGGAGGAAGAAAGTTTGGCAGAAAAACTTTACAAAAGTTTAAAAGGATTGCGGTACCTCATTGTGATAGACGATATATGGGATATCAATGTGTGGAATGATTTGGAAAGATATTTTCCAAAGGATGGAATGGGAAGCAGAATCTTATTCACTACTCGGAATAAAGAAGTTGGTTCGAAAGCTTCATCTCATAGTATTATAAATGCACTTCCTTTGCTGTCGGAGGCTGAAAGTTGGGAATTATTACAAGGGAACGTGTTCAAAGATGAAAAATGTCCTCAAGAATTGCTAGATATTGGGAAGCAAATCGCAATAAATTGCCATGGCCTACCACTTGCAGTTGTCATAATAGCTGCAGTTCTTTCAAACATGGAGAAGAAAGAACGCTTGTGGCAAAAAGTTGAAAGAAATTTAAGTTCACATATATCAGACAACGAAAACAAGTTCATGCAGATATTGGAACTTAGCTACCAGCATTTACCAAACCATTTAAAACCTTGTTTTCTTTACTTTGGAACAAGTGACGAAGATGAAAAAATCCCCATAGAATTTTTGATATCTCTTTGGGTGGCTGAAGGTTTTATAGAGAAGGAAGAGGAGAAGTGCTTAGAGGATGTGGCACTAAAATATTTGATGGAACTAATTGATAGGAGCTTGATAATTGTTCACGAACGAAGATCTAATGGAGAAGTCAAACGTTGTAAGATTCATGATCTATTGCGTGAAATGTGCTCAAGAATAGGTGAAAAAATGAGTTTTTTGAAGTTGGTCAACTAGTACGTTCGCTGTTTCTCTTCTTTTTCTTTCCTTTTTGTCATTTTTTTTATCCTATTAATAATGGTTTCAATATTTGATGATTGCATCAATTATGTTACAGTAATGAAGATGATCCGCCAATGTTCTTCAGTCAAGTATTGATGCATGAGAAATTCCATTGTATGAATATCAACTATGGGGAACCTCGATTTCATTCACTGCCTTTCGGCCTACACGTACGTTCTCTACTATTTGATTGTACAAATCTTGAGGAGCAGTCCACAATAATCACATCCAGCTTCAAAGTTCTTAGGGCCTTCAGTTTTTGTGGAGCCTCAGAGGATCATGATTTTATAGGAATCGAACACCTGGTTCACTTGAGGTATTTGGTAATTTCATGTAATCTGCCTCCAATGGAAAGCTTCCACAAGCTAGAATATCTTTTGGTGTTTACAAATTCTAAAATTGAAATACCTGAGATCCTTCTTACTATGCTGAGTTTGAGACATGTGCATTTCACGGGTGGTGCATACTTCAGTGCATCTTGTCGTCAGCAAGCAATTAAGGATGAATGCTTCCAAATAAGTAATAATCTACAAAGTATTTCTGTGCTCAGAATTTTCGATGAAACAGACGAGAAAATTTTGAGATGTTTACGCAATCTTCGCAGACTGAAAGGTACGGTTGGATCTTCACTCAATTATTCTTTTGACTTCCTTAAGCAGCTCGAATCGCTGAGGCTTCAATCAGAATTGGGAGTTTTATCTTCCAGTTTGATTATTTTGCCCTTCAATCTCAAAAAACTGACTCTAGTTAATGTACACATGTCTCCGAAACAAATGGAAACAATTGGGCGACTGGAGTACATTGAGGTCCTCAAATTACAAAATGTAGCCTTTGAAGGAGAACAATGGGATGCGAGAGAAGGCGAATTTCCACAACTGAAAGTTTTGAAACTCTATTTTGTACAACTTACGGAATGGAATGCCTCAGGCGATAATTTTCCAACACTTCAACGACTAGTATTGCGAAATTGCTACAATTTGAAGAATGGAATCCCTCCCAGTTTCGGAGGTATTCTAGCGTTACAAATGATAGAGGTACATTGGTGCACAAAAGCTGTTGAAGTATCTACTAAGCAAATTCTCGAAGAACAATTCGACGCTGGAAATGAAGAGTTCAAAGTCATAATCTCTGGCCCGAAAATTGAAAGAAAAGAACAAGGAGAATGTGAAAGTGAAAGTGAAGAGAAAGAGGAAAGTGAAGAACAAGAAGAAAGTGAAAATGAAGTAATCACTGACGAGTTCGTGGAGCATTAGCTTTTGCTGGTATACTACAATTCTCAAATATAACTCCCTTTTTTTGCTTATTTAATTGGATTTTAAAAGATTTCTTATTTCTTGCAGGAGACCTTCTGAGACATTTCACATGGTAATAACAGAGACCTTTTCTTTTACTCTTTCCCATTCTCATCTTGATTCTGGTATTGTCTGTAATACTAAAATGACACATCAAATAAACTTCTAATGTATTTTTGCCTTGTTTTGAAATTAAGGTTGGCTTTATTTGATGAGCTTGTTGACACTATTCTATGAATTACTAGGCTTGCGTAGATAGGAAGCTGAAGTTCAAATAATCATTGCTTTTTTAAATTGATGCAGTAACATTTTTTTGAATGCTGGTTCTTGCTTAATTCTTCTGTTTACTTGGTTGAGAAGTTATAAAGATGTGTGCATTGGCTTTCCATTTGTCAGTATTAGCCACAAGACAACTTCATTTCAATCAAGTAATGTTACTAGAGAAGTCGAGTAAATATCTCGCGCTAGATAACTTGATCTTCAGTTGAAATGATGAACTAGGAATTACTATAGAAATATAACTCCAAAAGCTTGAATTGAGTCTATTATTACATGTTATTTAAACATTTCAATTTTCAGCAGCAAGAACAGTACAAGCATTATATAGATTAAATCAAGTTTGTCCCAAATCTATAGACCGGTTCGGCAATTCACACCAACAATGTAGCATTACTCAATTGCCAAAGCCTATAGAGGCTCAACCATTGTCGTCACTGTTCTATGCCGTACTGTTCATTCATATCTACATCACCGGCTAACATTCCATTTATAAACTCCCATTAAAAAAAAAAATGAAAAAAAAAAATTGTACCACTAAACCACCGTGAGTCCCAACTCCAATCTAGGGCAATTTCTTCTGCCAGAACCAAATGGTGTAAGCTGGAAATCCCGTACCCAGAGATCTACACTATTTCCAAGAAACCTGTTGGAGGGGAACTTGTCAGGGTTTGACGACACGTACTGATCTATCCTGACAACCTCTTGGTTTATAAAAAAAAAAAAGGTTGAACCCCAACCTTAGGGGCCCCCACCAACCCTGTCCTGGGCCATCGTGGAGGAGGTAAATCACAGGATGTGCCTCCCAGGAGCCAGGGTGGAGAGCATATGGATAGGCCAAGGCTGTTAACCCATATAGTAACTCCCGCTTGCAACAAAGCCAATTCCACCTTGCGGGGAATCGAACTCTGCACACTGCCGCGCTGAGCCCTATCCGCCCTCCCATTTGCCATTGGGAGATATGCCCTGGGGGCTACCTCTTGGTTTATTATTACATGGTAGGTAGTGTTTTGGAATGTGGAAACCATTAACATTAGAGTTTTCAAGGGCCTGACGAGGAAGAATTAATTGTGCTATAGGATGTATATTTAAGGTTTCCTTGACAACCAAAACGAGGTATTCAACATTTTTAAGGTTGGAGTCTTCCGTAATTCAGTACATGCCCACGACTGATTCTAGTTCTTTCTCGAGGTTTTTCATTACTAGGGGATGCCAGAGGAGTTCTATTAAAATACGGTGACCCGAATTCTGTTTGGTCCGATTCGAAAAGCTTGCGATTGCTGAAGTGTCCTTAGTGACTAGAAGAAGATCCTGGAAAAAATAAATTTCTCTATTGATGTAATGAAGAAAAAAACTTGAAAAAACAAATATAATATCCCATAAAAAGAAATCAAACTATGTTTGTCTCAGCTTAAAAGCAACTTATGATCTGCCTTATATCTTGCTTAAGTTTTGTTTCTTGTCCTTATCAACTAGCCTTTCTGTCGTCCTCACAAGCTGCCAAGCTTTTCATAGGAACGTATGATCATATTTTTGCTAGCAGGCCACATCACGGTGCCCAAAATAAATTGGGTGACAAGAAGAAGAATTTAACCTTCAGCCCTAGGCAATTAAATACATTAATGGGTGCGCCTTGGAGTTCTAAGTGTTAAGTTGTAGAACTTAATTATTGTCGTTATACAGCCAGAATCTCATTAAAGATAGATTAGAAATTTCGAACTTATAATTTTGATTTTGCAGTAATTTTTTTTTTTTAATAAATAAAGATCCGTCACTATGGCTTATTTGAACATCATCGAAAGGAAGGAGATGTTAGAGAAAATAAGGTGTTTGATTTTTCTCTTGCTAACCTCTAATTCGATTCTTTATTTTTTCTTATCTATTTCTCTTTTCTTGCTTGCGATTATTAAATCCATTTTTATTCTTTGACAGTTGATCCTAGAGTTATATAATAGTATAATGTTCCTGATCGACGGAGATTAAAATTAGATTTTTAGAAAATTTTAATAAAAAGTTATAAACTTTACAAAAAGTGTGATTAAATTTAATAAAAATCTAAATTATAATTTCTATCTAATGACGTCTACATATTTGATATTTTTATTGGATTTTGAACATTGGAGAAGATTATAAATTTTCTTTTTTCAGCTGAATAGTTTAAACATCCTTGTTTTTTATATGGGTCGGATCAATAGCAGCAAAGAATAAGTGAATTCATTTCTGCAACTAGAAAAACTTTAGAAACATACTGGAAGAGATTCTTAGATAAATGCTAGCCATTATTGCTAGTATCATAGATAGCGACATTAAATAATATATTCATTTAAATATAAAGTCATATTATTTATTTAACTAAACTTATAAGGTGTAGCCACAT